AGTTCCCAGAACTCCATTCCTGGGCATGATTTTGAATGCCCGGAGCCAACTGTAGGCCACTTCGTGTTCTTCTAGTTCCCAGAACTCCATTCCTGGGCCACATTTTGAATGCTGAGGCAGGCTGATGCTGCGGCCGAGGCAGGCTGAGGCTGAGGCAGGCTGAGGCTGAGGCCGAGGCTGAAGGCAGACTGAGGCTGAGGCTGAAGCAGACTGAGGCTGAGGCTGAGGCAGGCTGAGGCTGAGGCTGAAGCAGGCTGATGCTGAGGCAGGCTGAGGCTGAGGCTGAGGCTGAGGCTGAGGCTGATGCAGGCTGAGGCTGAGGCAGGCTGAGGCTGAGGCCGAGGCTGAAGGCAGACTGAGGCTGAGGCTGAAGCAGGCTGAGGCTGAGGCTGAGGCAGGCTGAGGCTGAGGCAGGCTGAGGCTGAGGCTGAGGCAGGCTGAGGCTGAGGCTGTGACTGCGACTGCCGTTGCCGCTGCGACTGTCATCGCGAATGCGACTACGACTGCGAGAACAGCAGAATTCTACAACTGGATTTTCATCTGAATCTTAAGGGGAATGCTTTCAGATATGCTTCTACACATCGCTGTTAGGTTGCTTTGCCAGGATATTTGTTGTTTGTTTGTTTTGCTTTTTCTTATGGTTTTGCTTGATTCTGTTCCGTAAGAGTATTCTGATTGGGATGAAAGGAGGAGGAGGAGGAGAAGGAGGAGGGGGAGGAGAAGGAGGAGGAGGAATGCGAAGTGGAGGAAGAAGAGGGAGGAGGAGGAGGAGGAGGAATAGGATGAGGAGGAGGAGGAGGAGGAGGAGGAGGAGGAGGAGGACGACGACGACGACGGCGCCGGCGGCGAAGCGTGAACCAGTGAACCAGTGAAACCTCTGCTATCCTCCTCCTCCTCCTCATTATGTTCCTCCGTCTCCTCCTCCTCTTCCTCCTCCCCCTTCTCCTTCTCCTCCTCCTCCTCCTCTTCCTCCTCCTCTTCATTTCCCCTCCCTCCCCATCCGCCTTCATCCCCCCTTCCCCTCCTCCATCCTCCCACAGCGGCAAGGAAAAACAAAAGAAAACCCAAGGAAATAACAGGTGTGTTGCAGAAAAATAGCAAAAACCTAAGGAACAACCAAAAAAACAAAGAAACCAAAGGCTTAGAATTGAAAACTCAGCAAAAATCTAAGGAAAAGCCACAACAAACCCAAACACCAAAAATCTGGCACCCTTCTCGGTGGAGCGTAGGGGTGGGAAGGGTAGGTCTTTTTTTGTTGTTGGGTTTTTCCTCAGGTTTTTCGATGTTTTTCGGCTCCAGCCCTTTTTTTGGGGGGGGGGTTTTTCCTTTGGTTTTCTTTGGTTTTCCTTGCCGTTGTGGAAGGAGGAGGAGGAAGAGGAGGAGGAGGAGGAGGAGGAGGGGGAGGAGGAGGAGGAGGACGAGGAGGAGGAGGAGGAGGAGGAGGAGGGATGCGAAGAGGAGGAGGAAGAGGGAGGAGGAGGAAGAGGAGGAGGAGGAGGAGGAGGAGGAGGAGGAGGAGGAGGAGGAAAATGGAAGAGGTTTGAATGGTTTACGCCCGCTGTCATTTTGCAGGGGCCCCCCTTTCACCCCGAAGCCTAAAAAATCGTATGGGGATTTTTTATTGTGGACTATTCTCGAGTATTTTTCATTTTTTTTGATGCTTCGCCCCAAATCCGCCTGTAGGGGGACAGGCCCGACCTAATACTTGCGGGGGCTGTCCGAGCGCCGCCTACCACACGTGTTTCCGAGCGCAGCCCTCATTTCGCGGCGGCAAAGCAAGGGCGAAGACTGACCGGGGAGGTCACAAATCTCATGGCGCCGACATCGCAGAGCGGATTTCGTTTGGAAAACGATAGATGGACCCGGAGCGTCCTGGAGAATTTCATTCCTAATTTCGAAGTGAATTTCTTGTGGATTTATGTCAGGCCAGGAAGAAAGACTAAACAACAACACGCGAAATTCAGTTCGTTTTTCGCTCGTCGTTTCGGGGGTTTGGCGTTGACAGAAGTCCATGCAAAAATTCGCTAGAGCACGTCTGCAAGGTCGGTGCAGTGACAAGCCGACCTGCGCACATCGTCTATCGCGTGCACTGCTGGTCGATGCGGCCAACTGTGCCTGGTCAGGAGGCTTACGGAAGACGCGGCCGCCCGGCGTGCAGCTGGACCGAGTGACGGCACTCGCGCGCGCGTGTCTGGGGGTGGCTTGGTGTGCGGCTGTGTGCTGCAGGCCTGGCGTGCTAGCTTTCCTCCCGTGCCCCGTGCAGATCGGGCCTCGCAGTGCCGTGCGGGCTCTGTCTGTCTGCCCTCCCTCGCCAGGAGTGCTCCCGGCGACTCGACGTCGAGGCCTGCAGCAAGGCCATCGACGACTGCGGCCTGCTGGAGTCGCCCAGAGGATGGGGAGCCTGGGAGGCCCCGGTGCTCGCCGCTCGAGCCTGGGCCTCCCGGGTGGGGCCGGAGCGGACGGGGTGGGAGGATCGGGCCGCTCCGCCGATGCGTTGGCGATGCGGCTCGAGGTGGAGCCCGGCTTTCTCCCCGCCGACGGCGCTGGTGTGTCGCCGACGTCGGCCGATGCATCGCCGATGCACTGGTGATGCACCCGCGATCCTCCGACCCCATCTGCCCGGACCCCATCTGGGAGGCCTCCATCGAAGAAGAGCACAGCGGAGCCGTCTGGGGGTCCCAGCACTGGTTCCGACCAGCAGGAAGGGGGGCAGGTTCGAGGAGCTGTGTTCAATGATGTTTTTTGCCCTTTTCGGCTTCCGGGGAGTGTTTTCGGGTTCCAGGACCGTCAAAACATGATCTGGGAGAAGACATTGCACCAGGTGGACCCTGGGAGGGGTCCAGGGATCGATCTTGAGCGGATCTGCCCTATCCCCCCGTTTTCTAACGAATCTTTTCGGGGCCCATCCAGTTCAGGCCCCCGGGCCGCTTCCACAAACAACAGATTCACACTTTCGGAGCTCTGCTCTCGGATGCTCTGGGGCCCGTCCAGTTCAGACCCTCCGGCCGCTGCTTCCAAAACGGCATATTCACACTTTCGGAGCTCTGCGCGGATGTCTCGGCTCGGCGATGGGCCGCCACGGAGGGCGCCTGCGGCGTCGTCCCCAGAGCGCTCGTCGCCTGCCAGGGAGGGCGGCGCCGCGCCGGTCCAAGAAGGCCGCGCGATTTTTGTCCGAGAGTTTCGTTTATGGCGGGCTCGCGTCGTGTCAACCAGCGGTTGAGGCGGGCTTGTTCCTCTACGAGAGGAATATTCAAAAATAGGCCGCAAAAAGATGGGAAGATTTTTCGATTATGTTTCGTCCAAAATCCGCCTGTAGGGGGACATGTCCAACTTAAGACCAGCAGCGACCCCGCCGCCAGCGTTTAACGCTGAACGCCGCGGGCGACCAAGAATCGGTCGATGTTGAACTACAGTCGAGACTCCAAGCAAGGACGCACGGATGCCCTTCGACTGCCCTCGCGTCCCTGCCTCTGGGGCCCGTCCTTCGCGGCTTCCACTGGCCAGCCCTTCAGGGTGTTGGCAGTCCGCCGCGCAAAAAGTGCCAGCTTCGGCGTCCAAGGCCCCCGCGTCCCTACCGCCCGTCCTCACCATGGACTTTTCGACTGCACGTGACGCTTCGGAGACGGCCGATCGTTTGAAGGTCGAGCCATCCCCGCGGTGGTCGGAAGCCAACGCCCAAGTCGGCACGGCGCGAGCCTCTCCCGCACGCCGCACGGCGGCCCGCTTCTGCCCAGCACCGGGGCGGAGGGCGAGCGCCGCCCCCAGCGTCCTGGGCGCTTTCCCGTTGCCCGGAGGGATGCTGCGCCAGGAGGGGGCGTCGAGGTCCTTTCGGGGAGGGCCAGCAGGAGCAGCACTGGCAGGCCCAACAACACACATCACCCCATCCACGGCCTTGCACGTTGCGCTGCAGGAGAGGGAGCCTCTGACACGTCGCGACCCCTCCCAAAAACCTCGGGGAGGGGAAGGGGATGGCTCCCCTCCCCGAAGGGAAGAAGGGTTGTGGAAGAGGAAAGAGGCCCTCCTCTGACCACCCGTCGCCCAAAGGGCTGGTGGGACTCAGAGTTCTGGCCGAGGCTTCGCAGCAGCCCAGGCAGGCCCTGCCAGGCAGGCCTGACGGACCTTGGCTGTTGGCTCCCTGGAAGGCCTGGGCTTGCCCCCCCCCCCCCGCCAAAGGGCCCCGTCCGATTCGATCGATCCGATTCCGTTTCGAGCTTGCGGGACTCGATGCCCGATTCGATTGCGATCTTCGGTATCGTTTAACCGACCCCCATTTCTATCCCCATTCCCTTCGAGACTTTCACCAAGTTTACCACCCCAGCTGGGGATGCACCCGTCGAAACCCGACGGGAACGGCCTCTATCCCCGTCTAGGGGAGTAAATGGGCCTGTGGGGCCCAGGCCACGCCGCTGGGGATGGGGATCGGTTAAACGATGCTCAGATTCTCCAGCGATCTGCGGCTCGGCGGTGCATCCTGGCGCGGCCGATCCCGCGCCCCGCCCCGAGGCGACGCCGACCCCCCGACCTGTCACGTGTCCCCGGACCTGCGACGCCTTCTTTTTTTGCGGTGCGGCCCCCCGGGAAAGCCGGACTCTTTCCCCAGGGCCGGCTCTCCCCCCCGGGCAGTTATTTGACGGCCCCGGGGGGCCCAGCGAGGGCCCCGACAAAGGGGCCGAGGGCCACGCCAGACGCTTCTCCCGCCGTGAAATTTTTGCACCCTGCGGGCGTGTCTGGGTCCCGATGCATCCTGTGACGAGCGAACAGCACCTATCCATACCCATAATTGGGAGGGACGGAGGAGGCCATGAGTGCGTGCTGTCGGATGGGGGTCCCCGCTCGAGCGGGAGCCCCACTCGCGGCCCGACGCACCCATACCCATAGCCGGTCCTCCTCCCGCCGACCCCCGGTGGGTATGGGTATGGGTGTGTGAGTGTGTGTGTGTGTGTGTGTGTGTGCGTGCTGCTCTTTCGTCATCCTGCCCCCCCCCTTGCCCCCCCCCGCAGGCGAACGAGTGGGCGCCGGAGCCGGTCGGCCCTGGGGCTTTCCCGCGTGCGCCGCCCGAGTGTGCGCCGCCCGGCGCGCTGCCCGCTGCGCCGATCGGGCCCCGCGAGTGCGCCGCGTCGCCCAGCGCGCCGCGGCGGGCCGGCCCGGGCGGCGCTGCCCAGGGCGCGCCGGCCGCGCGGGCCGCCTCGGCGGAGGCCGCCGGCGCCCGGCCGGAGGGCCGCGAGGCGCCGCGCGGGTCTTCGCCGCCGGTTGCTGGCGGCGGCGGGGCGGCGGCGTCGTCGTCCGAGGCGGCGGCGTCGTGGTGGTCGTCGTCGCCGCCGTCCGCGGTCGTCGTCGTGATGGTCGTCGTCGTGGTTCGGGCCGGACGAAACGGGGGGGATTGGGAAAGCGCGGGTGACAAAATTTGCTGCATGCAGCTGGTTTCGGTCTCACCAAGGGGCCCATTCCTCGATACAAAGCCGCCTCCGGCGCAGGGAGGCGCCGGGAAAATCAGCTACGTGAGCTGATTCTCAAACCCCCCCTTTGCTATCCCCCCCTTTCGCCCGACCCGAGTGGTGTCGTGGTGGTGGTCGTCGTGGTCGCCGTCGTGTTGGCCGCCGTCGTCGTCGTCGTCTGCGGCGGCGGTGCTGGCGTTCTGGTCGTGGCCAGGGTCGTCGTCGGCGCCTCGCCCGCCAGGCTCCGCGGGCTTGCGCGTGGGCGGAGCCGCCCGGGTCTCCGCGCGGGCTCATGTGCCAGGGCTACTTCGAGCAGGACGTGCAGGAGGCGGCGCTTTCCGCGCGCGCGAGGGGTGGGGACACGCTGGCACCCGCACCACTCCGCAATGTAGGAATCGAGGTGAAAACAACAACTACATCAACATAGCGACGGGAAGTCCGCACGTATTTCTTGGAACGGCGCTACACTCCCTATTGGCGTTTTCCCTGATGTGGAGAAGCCCAGGCATCCAACGTCGTGAAGAACGCTTGCCGGCGTGGACCCCGAACAAGGAGTTTTTGAAGTTTGATTGTGGAAGCTAGCTCTGTGGTGCAACATATGCTGTGCAAACACTTGTGCAATCTACGTGGTGAGATCCAGGTTGTGTAAGCTCTGTGGGGCAGTCTCAGTCGTGCAAAATTTGTTGACAAGGTTCTCTCGATCTGGTACAACACAGGTTGCCTGTTAGGGCGTCTTGAGCTATCGGCAACTGGAATAATTCTAGACGCTTCGCGTAACCCCACCAGCCCATCCGTCTACGTTTCGGCCTACCCGGTGACGCCTGGACGTCGCGGACTTCGCCGGCACAGGAGTTGCGCCTCGAAGAACCTGGATTTGCTGGTGCAGTCTGCCCACAGCAGCGGTGCTCCGCGGCAGTCAGCGGTTCCCTCACATCGCGGGTGAACTCGGCTTGGTGAGCGTGTGGTGTTAACCGTCTTTCGCGGCGGTCAGCTGCACCCCTCACTCCCGGCAGGAGCTTCGCAGGACACCGGCACACAGCGCTGGCCCCCGAGGTTGGCAGTGTTGCTTGCCGTCGGAATGCGCAACTAGGTTCAGCGACAGCCGCGCTTCGGGTCGTCGGTAGCAGCTTTCCGAACACTTCGTGACCTGAGCGACTCTGAGTGGCCGGCTTTTCGGGTCTGGCTGGGGTACCCCCCGCCGGTCCTGCCGTTAGGCGGTCTGTCCCGTTAGGTCGCCCGGCTGGGTGTGCTCCGTGCCTTCGCGGGCTACTGCGGTTGGGCACGGACGACGAGGTCAGCGCCTCGGTCGGTTCAGCCGTCCGAGGGCCGCCTGCTTTGTTTTTCACGCTTTGCCCGCTTCCAGCCCGCCGGTAGGCGTGAGCTTGCCTCGGAGGCTGGCGCCGATCCGGCGACTCGCTCCGTAGCTTTGAATTAGTTCATTTTGTATTGTGCATGTGCATATGCTCCTGCTTGCAGGCGCGTCTCAGCTTGCCATCCTGGCTGCTGCGTTCGCCTATTCGCACTGTGCCGTTGCCCCGGACACTGCTCTTGCCGCCTGACCTATGCCTCGCGGCCGCAATCGAAAAAGTAACCCCACCCACCCATCCAGAAACGATGCCCAGAGGAAGTGCCTCGATCAGGGAAGTGGGCAGCACACAGAGGAAGGGTCCCCCAGTGGAGGCCTCTCGGAGCGTCTTGGGGGCCTCTTGGCGGTCCCGGGCGCCTCTTAAGGCGTCTTGGGTGCCTCGGAGAGCTTCTTGGGGCCTCTTGGGGGTCTCTTGAGGGCCTCGTGGAGGCCTCTGGGGCGCCTGTTGGGGCCTCCTGGGCGCCTCTTGGGGCCCTCTGGAAGCGCTCTTGGAGCTCTTTTGGGCCATCTTGGAGTCTTCGTGACGCCTCGGGTGGCCATCGGGAGCGAAAAGGCGAGAAAGCCGAAAACATTGATTTTCATAGGTTTTGGACGGATTTTGGCCTCTTCAGGGCCTCCGGGGGGAGCTCTTTGGCCACTTGGGACCGTCTTGAAGCGGTCTTGGGGCTTCTTGGATCATCGTGGGAGCCATCTTGAGGCATCTTGGGATATCTTGAGCCATCTTGGAGGTCATCTTGGGCTCTCCCAGGCGCTCGTGAAGTTATCTGAAGCAGGGCCCCCCCTCCGGAGGACCGAATGTGGCCAATACTTTTTATAACATCAGTGATTTTGGCATTCTCGCCGAGGCCTCTTTGAGCGTCTTGGGTGCCTCTGGGGGGTCTCTTGGGGCCTCGTGGGGGTCTCTTGGGAGCCTCTTGGGGGCTTTGGGGCTTCTTTGGGCCACGTGGGGTCATCTTGGGGCCATTTCGGGGCCTCTCGGGGCTTCCCGGGTGCCTCTTGGGGCCATCTTGGAGGAGATCGATCACAGAGAGGGGGGGGGGGGCGCTCAATTGCCCCCCCCCCCCCCCCCTTCAGGAGGCCCAAATGGGGCCAAAACCTGAGTAAAACCAGTGATTTTGGCTTCCTCGCCGAGGTCGTTTTGGACGCTTCAACGCGTCGCGGACCCCCCCGTCCAGGTCCAGGGGAGGGGGTATGGGGGAGGGGTCAAGACTCCCTCCCCGCCCGCAAGCCGTCTCGCTCACTCCCACCCGTCCTCCCAACGCATACGTGGCACCCGAGTCTGGCCCGAGCCTCAGCATATTCAGCAGTCGTCTTTGGATGGGCAGCTACTGGGGGCCAGTCCGCCGCCGCCGCCGCCGCCGCTGTCAAATCGCCGCCGCCGCAGCCGCTGCCGCCGCAGCCGTTGCCGCCACCGCCACCGCCGCCGCCGCAGCCGCCGCCGCCGCCGCCGCCGCAGCCGCCGCAGCCGCCGCCGCAGCCGCCGCCGCCGCCGCCAAGTGTGTTTCCCAACCATCCTGTGGTGTTGGGTCCTCGTTTTGAGGAGACAGCGCCCCGCGTCTCACTCCTCTTCCTCTCCTCACCCCCCTCCCCTCCTACCTCCTTCCCCCTCCTTTCTCCTCTCGTCGTGGCCCCATAGGGAGGTCCACCTAAGGGCCCCAGTGGTGCAGTTCGCATGGCGGCGCCGCCCCATTTTGGCACACCCTCACACGTTTCGTGGCCCCATAGGGAGCCCCATCTAAGGTCCCAGTGGCGCAGGTGGCATGGCGGCGCAGCCCCATTTTGGCACTCCTCTCACACGTTTCGTCGCCCCATAGGGAGGTCCACCTAAGGGCCCCAGTGCCGCAATTCGCATGGCGGCGCCGCCCCCTTTCGTCGCGCCCCCTCCACGTTTCGTGGGCACATTTAGGGGGCCCCATCTAAGGTCCCAGTGGCAAGCTGCGCATGGCGGCGCCGCTTCAGTTTGGCACTCCTCTCACACGTTTCGTGGCCCCATACGGAGCTCCAGCTAAGGTCCTGGTGGCGCAGGTCGCACGGCGGCGCCGCCCCATTTCGGCGCTCCCCATCGCTCGTTTCGTGGCCCCATAAGGAACTCCACCGAAGGCGCCAGTGCCACCACCCGCATGCGTCACCCACACCCATGTCGTCACACCCCTCCCACATTTCGTGGCCCCATGAGGAGCTCCAACGAAGGCCCCGGTGCCACCGCCCGCATGCGTCACCCACATTCCGGCACACCCCTCGCGTGTTTCGTGGCCCCATAGGGAGCTCCACCAAAAACCCCAATGGCAGGGTTCACGTGCGCCCACCGCACCCATTTCGGCACACCCATCACCTTTCGCGGCCCCGTAGGGAGCTCCACCGACGGCCCCAGTGGCTGCGTTCGCATGCGCCCACCGCACCTATTTCGGCATACCTCCCACGCGTTTCGTGGCCCCATAAGGAATTCGACGTCCCGCCGGACAACTTGTGGCGCACTCCTCACACGTTTTGTGGCCCTGAGAGGGAGTTCCTCCGAATGCGGAGCCCACAACGACAGTGCTCACAACTGAATATGGTTGGGTCCTTCGCCAGGCTAATTATTTTGAGAGGGATGGTGGTGGGTGGGGGGGGCGCATCGGGTTGGTTGCGCATGTTCCGTATGGTTTTTTTTACAAAGGATGGTGGGGTGGGGCCCTCTCGGTTCCTGATTGGCTAGCAGTCGCCTGGGGGAAGTGGTGTGTATTAGTGGGGAACAGTGATACCCCCCCCCGAAGGGGAAGAGGACATTTTGTAAACCACGTGCGCCCGAAGGGCTGGTGGGATTAGGCGGGCACATTCGGCTTCTTCAGACACCTGAGACAATTCATTGCTCACTTCATCTCTTTAAGCCCTCTTCGGCGCCGAGAACCACCGTGAGGAAACCTCGCGCTGTTGTTTTTTTAAAATTGGCTTGTGTGCGTCCCATGTTTTCCGTATGGCTTACTTGATTTTGCAGTGTTCGTGCCGTTGACTTTCAACGCGCCCCAGACTGCCGCGTGGTCCCCCCCGGAGGCGGCCCGCAAGGCCCTTGGGACCCATCGGCGATTCTGAGTGGCGACCAACGCCGCCGTTGCGAAGCCTCGTCAAAACCACTTCGAACGGCGACGGGCGGAAACAACGAGCGGCGACGAACGGCATTGCGGTGAAACCTTTGCAGATCCAGCGGTTGCGAGCGGCGACGAGCGGCGACGAGCGGGCACGCGCGGCCGCGGGGCGAATCTTCGACGCCCGCCCGCGGCGACGAGCGGGGCGCGCGGCGGCTGCGAGCGGCGACGAGCGGCAACTGGGCGACGCCCCGGCAGAGACAGCGACCGCGAGCGACGACGAGCGGCGACCATGAGCGGCGACGAGCGGTCGCGGGCAGTTGTTGGGTCGAATATTTGACGCGCGCGCCATGATCACGGCGTCGCGGCTCCGCGCGCGGCGTCGCGGCGCAGAGCGCGCGCGCGACCGGGCGCGCGCAGGCGCAGACGCAGGCTCGTCCACGGCGCGCGCGCGCGCACTGAAACGCGCGCGCTTGCACCTTCGCACGCGCAGACACGCACGGACACACATACATAACACAGACACACACACACATACACACAGACACACACAGACACACACAGACACGCACGCATACCCGCGCACCCACGCACGCGCGCGCCCGCCCGCGCGCGCAGGTGCGCGCGCACGCACGCGCACCCGCACACCCATACACACGCGCACACACGCGCACACACACACACGCACGCACGCACGCACGCACGCACGCACACACACACAGACACGAGCAGACACACAGACACACACAGACACACACAGACACACACAGACACACACAGACACCCACAGACACACACAGACACACACACAGACACACACAGACACACACAGACACACACACAGACACACACAGACACACACACAGACACACACAGACACACACAGACACACACAGACAC